CCCACGTTCGAATATCCGACTTAACCGATAAAACAATCGCCCCCTCCGGATTTTCTTCCGATTGTGTTAACAAACACAAATTGTGTAACAACAAAAGAGTGCATTTTTTGGCTGGGAACCAAAAAAAAAAAAATATATACATAAAATATACACAAAACACTTTTATTCTTGTTTTTCGACCAGCGTATAATGTGTATCTGGTGGTGGATTCACGACGACCGCCGGCATAATAAGAATAAGAATATTATTTACCATGGAAAACATGCGTTTTGCATACAAATCGACAACGGGCCAAGCCAAGTAAAAAAAAAAAAAAAAAAAACCAAAACGAAGGGTATACAAATCGTCGTTAATATGTTAACATATTAAACAGGTAGTCGACGATTAAAAAAAAAATTTAAAAAAACATATCGACTTGACATTCAAACTCTTATATGTTATACACCTACCTCTATCCGTAGAAGACGTTTGCGGTTGGATTTAATATTATTAATATTATTATTCAATATATGTAATATGGCGAACGTGATTGTTTTACACCACTGTATTATTTCGTATACTAGCAGAGGCACAGCACACGCTTATACAGTGTAGTCGGAAACGGAGACAAGAGAGAATTAAAAAAAAAAAACCTAATAATAATATTATTTTAACCCCTTGGCGAGAGAGTCGCTCTCGCTTATTGTCAAAGAAAGAAAACGGCAGCGGGCCAAATGCACAGCAGACAATACTCAGACACCGTCGTCCCTTTTGTTTAAAAAAGGAAATAATAATATTATATAGACAAATTTTATTTTACCGGAAACGCAGACGTTCAGACATTACACATTATTATACATAATTATTATTATAACAACAGAGTGGTAATAATAGTCGTGTAGACAGTAGCGCAGAAGACCGTAACAGAAATTAAAACGGTACACCAAAGAAGAAGAAGAAGAAGAAGGTTCACCCTTTTTACACCAGAAAAATCTCGTTTAAATCCGTTTATTTTTTTGTTTTGTTTCCCCGAAGGGAAAGTGTATCCTCTCCACCACCGCGTGTAGACTACTACTGTTTTTTGTTGTTGTTCCTGCTTCCTCCTTTTTACCTTACAACAATCGTAATCGTTTGTATACAACCCGGCCGACATATTGTACGTTATATTATTATTACTAGTAAGTGTACACCGTCGTTATTATTCACTAGTGGATACTTCCTGTCCGAGAAGAAGCCAGAAGGCGCTTGCCGCAGTGCCGTGGTCAGGTGTTAACCACCTGACTGCACTGCCGGTTTAAATTATAAATAAATAATAAATGACAAAAAAAAAAAAACACAAAAAACCGGCGGATGATCCCGAGGGAATTCATTACAACGGCTATAAGGCACAGTAAATGTGGAAATAACAGCCGCCCAAGTCAAGTGTTTTGTACAAGGGACAACGGTGACAATGTTTCAATACCGTGTAAGCAGAATATGTTTGTTTTAGTTAATTTTATTATTGTGTAGGTAATTTCTAGACACTTTATCTTAAAAAAATATACAGCAGGTTGAAAAACCTAAAGGTGGATAATTTGATGATTTACTAATTTTTACAACTAGCTCTTCTTTCCTGGTATTTGCCCAGACAGTGTTTAGTGTCTCCGATAAAATTTAATTTTATAGACATGACCCCTTTCTGCTAGTGTGTTAGCGGTAAACGGCCAGTAGATTTCACCTGTGCACATGTTTACCGCCATATTTTGACGGAATAACACATAAATATCTGACCAATAGTAATTACTAGACGATACCGGTGCATATTTCTAAAAAAAAAAAAAAAGAAACAACCTAACGCCCGGTTAAATGATGGGCTAAACGATTGTTGCTTAAGTACTTATAATGGTTCTTTTACAAATATCACAGTGACCTATGATACGACCATTAAATCGTAATAAACCGTTAAGTTAATTAATTTGTTGCGCGACCCGCCATAGTAATAAAAGTATTATAAAGCGTTTAACCGGCTAGTGAGACTACTATATACATGCTCGGATTACTCTATAACGTTATTACTTTATAGACTATCAACTCCAAAAACTTCAAATTTAAATTTTTTATGGATAACACAATATGAATGCGTGTGTGTGTGTATGAAAGAGAGAGAAACAAGTAAAGTGTAGTTCGAAGAATTTTAATTGTTTAAATTTCGTTATTAATTTATAAATTTTATATTGTCAATAAAATATAATTTATTACCGTGTTATACTATTAAAACCACGAGGACTCATTGAATCTGCACGAAAGGGCACATAGTAACGCATTAAAAGTTTTGTGTTGATAAAATTAAGTTATAAAAACAGAATAGACCATAAATAATTATAATATAACATCACACCTGATAACTCGAAAAGACAATAAGAAACTCTCTTGGTTTTTTTAAGGGTACACATAAATGATAATTTTATAAAAAGGGAACATTAAAACGGGCTTTTGTCGGTTTTGGGATTTCATATAATTTCGGTTTACAACTTAAGCCAACGATAAATATAATATAGCGTTGCCAGTTTTATACATAATTAGTCTTATCTGAAATAATGGGGATGAAATCCGCCGAGCTCGAGGGGACTTCAAAAAGTAATACAAAAATAGTAGCCAAAAAACCCAGAAACTCAAATTCCCAACTGTATTTTGTACCTTTTTTATACCTTTGAGAGTGTACCTTAGTACACTCTCGGGTATGCGAGTAACGATCAGTTGAATTAAGTGTTCAATTTTGAAAATAAATTGAATAATTTATTTTTCGGATAACTCGATTATTCATGAATAATTCATTGTTAATAATATTGGAATAATTTGTGAATAATAACAAATCGCCAATACAGTCGTATTATAGTATTATTGGCGTTTATTATGCAATGATCAAAATGGACGAGCCTATTTTGACTTTAGAAGGTATGATTTTAATTCGAATTTATTATTTGTGCTGAAATACACGGTTTAGGCGATACATTACTACTATTAACTAAAAAGTACTGCCGTTACCCTTAAGTACTTGTGGAGCCTCTTAGAGATTTTTATGATATAGGCAAATAATTAGTACAATGGAACCAGATTAGAAAATGCAGGATAGAAAAAACATACACACTCGGATAGAATTTCGAGTTGTTCTCAGAGAAAAAATTAAAAAAAACAAATTATTTTGATAATTATATATTTTTTTTTTTTTAATAAAATTCCATAAAATGGACTGTGTAAATGACTCGAATTATTGTCCCTATTTTGAATAATTTATTTTTTCGAATAAATAAGCGTACATTTGAATTGAATTATTCGATTCGATATGTTGATAAATTGTTGTTTAAAATTTGAATAATCGCACACAGGTTTTGTCCGTTAAGAGGACGTCTCCCATCGATGATTGTACGAATGGTAAAAACATGTGTGCGCAAAACAGATAAAAGTACCTTTCAAAGTGGTTTCTGACATAAAACGCCTAGTTAAAATGATTTAAAAATTGTTTTCTACATCTAATACTCGTGATATCTACGTTAACAAGATGAGTTCACTATTTAACCCAACATTGATTATTATTAATATGTTTTTCTTTTTAATAAAGGCTCTGGCAGAGGCTCAATTAATAGGGATGTAGGGGGGAGGGTACTTACACCAGGGCACCAGACTTCAAGGGTCACATTTTTTTTTAGCTACTTTGTATTATTTTTACAGCTACCATTAATAGAGAACGCATTGTCTTGGTCTAACAAATTGGCAACATGGCAAAATTACATTGCTGAGATTTTAAATATGGCGTTTAAGTCGAAATTAGAGTTTAAACACAAGTATAATACATTTTAGAGAAGAGAACAAATTTTCAAGGGCACTCCGCTGCTTTTCACTACAATATAATTATATTATACTCTCATTTCTCCAATTTTTTTTTTTAAGTATACAGTTTACTACTCACAGAACAGGTGTTAATTTTATTAAATAAATATGCATTTTTTATTTTAAAAGTTTTGATTATAATAAAGGCCCAATTTTACAACTATTAAACAATTTCTTAGGCTAAATTAAAAATAATATTTTATAAATTAAATCAATCCATTAGGTAAATGGTAATAAATTGGGCAAAATTATAAAGTTTTCGGTAAAAAAAAAAATATACCTAGAAAAATATTTGTTTGTGTCTTCTGAAAAACCCAAACTTTGAAATTGGACCCAGGAATCATATTATTTGAACCGCTAAACACAGAAAGGGCACATGTCCAGATTTTTAAATTTTTCATAAAAGTCAAAAAACTTAATAAATAATAATTTTGAAAGAAATTCAACTATACATTTCAAGATAACATATACTTATTTCCACAATTATTAATTTATTAAACTCTAGGCATCTTAAGGGTTTTAAGGTCGTGGACATATGCCGTTTATGCATCTCATTTATATATATTTTTTTTAATAATTGTAGAAACATGTATAAAAATATAATCTGTCTAATGCTATAGGTATTATTTAATTTATTAGTAATTACATTTTTTTTCAGAAATATTAAGATTTTTGTCTTAAAATCTGGACATGTGTCCATTTTGTATTTAGCTATTCATTTACCGATAAACAATTAAATTTCATCAGTTATAGCAGTAAACTATAAAAAAAAAAAAAAAAAGACCACCGAGTATTTTACAATAAACTGCAATCACGCTCAACAAGTTTGGTAACAATGGTAATACTACAACGGTAATTTCTGACAACAATACTTTTGGGTCAAAAGGGTCACTTGTCCAGACTCCAGAGGACAAGACGTGTGGAGTGCCTTTTCTGCAATTAACGAAATTGTTCATAATTTTGTTTTTTCCCATGGTACTTATATAGTAGGACACGTGTTCCGTTTGCATAGTGTCATATATTTACATAGGTATTGTCTACATTTGATTATGCAATAAAGCGATTTTTTAGCAGGTAACCCAAGCCGGGTTAGGTGTTTTTTTTTTTTTGGCGGTTGCCAATATTATTATTATTCCAAATAAGGGGAGGCGTACCTGGTGTTTGGCAAAGGCCGGATGGTGCCAACTTTTCATGTCTAAACGGCCGTTGTGCTGGAATCGGTGTTCGGGATAGAAAGCCCGGTCGGCCGTGTCGTCGTAGTACGAGTACTGGTCGTCGACCGCTGAGTCCATCACTGTTGTCCGAGGACTGTTGCCGGACAGATGATTTGCCTTGGAACATAAAAAAAAAAAAAATGGGAAAAAAAATAAAATAAAAAATGATGTCATAACTCTCGTCTTTCGCACACACGCGAACGCGAACGCAAAAAAAAAACAAAACAAATACAGTAATAATAAAATGCGGATAAAAAAAAAATCCGTATCAGCATAAGGTTTACAAAAAAAAAAAAATAATAATAAAAAACCAAACTCATCGATGTCCCTTTTTACTTTTCTTCGCTTTTTTTTTTCTCCTCATGGGCGGTTAAGATGTGATGGATATATTTTCATTTATAATAATATAATATTATATGCTCTCACGATTCTCGTATTGCCCCGTAGTGCCTCTCTTCTGGGCAACGGCACAGACACACGGGTATCTCACACTCACACACACACACACACACACACACACTATACAAGACGGCGATCAGCAGCAGTATTGTACATACGACAAACCGGTTTCCGAACACGTTGAGAACCACTGGCGGACGAGGGATTATTATATTATAGTAATACGATACCCGAATAGTGAATGGCCGCCACCACCACCGTGGTACTCAGACACAGGCTGAGATATCTTTTTTCTTAAGTTTTTCTCTCTCTCTCTCTCTCTCTATAGCATAAACACCATGCGATATAGGGGAAGAACGCGTACACACACACACACATACATATATACCTTCCCTACAGAGTGTGTACACCAGATGACGGGGGCAGCGTACGGGTAAAACATCATAGACCGTGTGTGTATATGTGTGTTTTATATTTTATTATACAGCGGACAGGTGCACGACGTGACGTCACACACACGGCGTAAAAATATAGTATTACAAAAATCGGGTGGCGAGATAAAAAAAAAAAAACAAAGAAACATTATTATTAGGGAGACAATATAACACACACGCGACGACGGTATCATTATTGAGGTGTGCGAAGCAAAAAAATAAGACTTGACCAGAGCAAACGAATAGGGAAAAATACAAAATTTTCACAAGGTGGCCGCACAGATTGTCCAGTAGGGAAGCCCAGGCCGGCGGTACTGATAACGATTGTCCCCTGACATTTTGTGTAATTTTACCGAAGTTTCCCTGCCGGTTGATAACAATGATAATAATTGCTGGACACGACAATAGCAACAAAACGAATAACGTTATCTTTATCGTATCGTAATATAGTAAAAATTACCCATTTTTTGGCCCAAAAGAGATGATACGCCGCAATACGTGCTAATGTTTTAACAACAACATTTATATATATATATATACGTATATACACGTAGCCTCCCTTTGCCGGGGTAGGTATGATGACCAAAAAAAATAGTTAGATGGAAAATAATAAAAATAATTCTCGACGGTACAGTCTCGACCGGTGTAGGTAGGTAAGTACACCGGTGTAAAAACCGCATCGCCCGTGTGGGCAATGTACCTACATAATATATAATATTATTATTACCAAAGGCAACAGTACTGGTGCTGATAACAATAATTATTACAAGATAAGTAATATTAATAAGTGTACAACATAATAATAATAATTATAAATAATTCACCTCTCTTTATCTAAACGGGCAATGTGTCGGTATTCCACGGAAAAAAATACACAGGTGATAACACACCACCGCCACCACCACCACCACCACCGTTACCACCGCGGTCAACACTACTGCACAACGCGCGACTCTTGTGATAAAAAATATTATAATATTATTATAATCGTTAACCGTACGTTTATTATCAACATCGTCATATTAAAAATAATTAATAATACAATTTATATAAATACAATTTTTAAAAAAATAATTGATAATTAAAACTCACATCGAAAATTAACAACACCGAAAGAAATAATGCGCGTTAATAAACGGAATAATAATATTGAAAGAAAAAAAAACGCACACACACACACAACTGCAAATTCGGTATTTAATATTATTATATTTTCTTTTTACTAATAATTTTGTTTCTCACTTATTTGAAACGCACAAAAATCACTGCGACGACTGAGAACAACCGCTTAACGAACACACCGCAGCAGACTGAGTGAATAAGACATATCAAGTGTACGGCGTCGACGTTGTGGTGGGAGTAGAAAAAAAACACACACATATATACATATACCTATTGGGCTATACCGTACATATATATATGTATATAAATGTATATAATAGCCTACACTCGGCGGGCACCGTCGTTGTTGCATGAATGAAACGCAGAGAATAATGGCCCCGGAGTGGTGGTGGTGGTGGTAGCGGTGGTGGTGGCGGCAGCAACACGCTGTTATTATTATTATGAATGAATGAATGAAGACGGTTATGAATGAACATAAAAAAAATATATATACGGTTGGTAGTTTGTACCGGTACGGGTACAGTTGCACTAAGTATGCAAGTGTTCCATATATAATACTCTTCTACTATATAGGTAGTAATAATATTATATAGGTATATACCTATCTATTTTAATCTTTCCCAACGATTGTAGGTACTATTATTTATTATTATTCACACCGGTTTTGCTTACGGGTTAGGTGTACGCGGTTCATCCTACGTCTGACCTGTGCATGCAGTATGTATGTACAGTCTATGGGTACTTAACACGGCAGTTATTATACTAGCATCTGAGAACGTATTGTTTTTCATTAATTATGTGTTTTTTTTTTTTGTATTTTGTGACTTAGAAATTATTACCCTAGGTACTCGTTGGGCTAAAATTAGAGTTGCCAACTTTCAAATTTCAAAGGACAATATTTTTCATGTCCAAAAAGGGGGGCCCAAATTATTTAGAAAATAGATAATTATATTTTTCAGTTTTCTTGGAGATTTCAAGATTTTTTCGGGGCTTAGACACCTTAAGTTGTAAAGTCGTTGAGTTATATTATTATTTTTATCGAGTACACTTATTTTAAAAACTTATTTCTAGGATTGTGGGGCACTCGATCCGAATAACAAAATATCCTTGAACCAACAGAATAGAATGAATAGAATAGAATAATATATACTTTTAACAAATAATCTTATGCATTTTATTTATATCACCTTTATTGAATCGTATTTATACTTTTGACTCAGATAAGTTCAACTTTGACTATTATATATCATGTAAATGAACAGTACATGCATATTTAAAATATATTTATAAATAACAATGACATCAAATATAATAATTATAAGAATCGACAGTATTATACATTTATAACAATTAAATGTTTGCCACTCTTATTAAATCTTAAATATACTTATCTACATCGGATACAGAAATAGGTCTGTGAAAAAAGTGTAACAAATCTGATGCAAGTGATTGAGCTAAATAATTGATAAAATTAAAAATAATAATAATGAAACATAAATATGTATTTTTTCAATTTTTCATAGACTTTACACTATATCGATGGTTGACAGGACGTAACCCTCATTCCTCAAAACTTAAATTTTACAGGAGACATTAAAATAGCATGTGCATATTGATTTTATGGACTAAAAAGTTAAATTTGTTTTTAATAGATTTAAAAATAGTTAAGTATAATTTAATGTATTACTTGCAAAAGTAAATAAAAGGCTTAAACACTTTATTTTACTCCAATGTGAAGTTACTCGTTGGTTACACTACTTGATTTGTCAAAATAAAAACTATTGTGGGATAATATTGTCATTGACTAGAGTTGGTTACTGTAATTGGAAATATACGAAGCAATCATTTATTATGGTAGAAAGATTCCTAAAACCCAATAAACTAAAACCGAAAACACATTCGATATATTTTAAAAGTTTAACTACTATTACTATAACAAAACTTAATTTCAATTTGAACATTGTAATTAAAATCAATGAAAATTGATGAATTTTTGTAAAGGGGCTTAAACTAATTGAACACTATAATTATGTATTTACTAAAAATACTGTATGGTTACGCTGTGGCTTACATAATTTGGAATTTTGTAAACTCATTTTGTCAGCGTGGGTTACATAAATAAAAAAAAAATTAAATGTTACATTTTAAACAGAAAAAAATAATGTGAGGGTTACAACGATTGGCCAAAATGTGTATTTCTATATATATATATATCTACATAATCGATTGCAATCATAACCTCAAAATCGAAAAAAGTGAGGGTTACATATATTGACTTATCAACCAAAAAGTTTAAAGCGTTTTTGGACGTAGGACAAATCATAAAAAAGTAGGTCTGTCCTGCACAAAGAAGGACGATTGACAACCCTAGCTAAAAATTTACAAATACCCAACAAAAAAATGAACATACTTATTTTTTCAATTTAAAATTATAGCGTTCTAGTACTTATTTTTTATAAATATTAAATTATATAGGAATATTCACTACATATAGTGCTAACGATAAACGTTAACAACCCGAGAAAATATATAATGAACCTTATCCCCCGGAGAGGGGGGAGGGTTATTTTTTTCAGGTTGAAGTTTTAGGGCTTAAGTTCTGCAAATTAGACCAAAGGTAGATCTAGAACGGTACTATAACATATACAATTGTCTTAAAAAAAAATTAATCAAACTTCTTCTATTAAGGGCCTCTACACTAACATTTATTAAGGCGCATTGCCTATACAATTTTTCACAAAACTTAACATTAAGCTACAATTTTTAAACGTATATAACATCATAGGAAAAAAGGATCTATTTTGGTATTTAAATTTTTTTTTCAACAAGTGTTTCTACTCTGAACAGAACTTACCTAAAAATACTCCGATTTAAGTATTAAAAAAACATTTGAATTCTTCTTAACAATTTCAAGACATCGGCTGTGGGGCAATTTCAGAATTATTTTTAGTTAATTAATTATTTTAATGTAAAAAACTTGAATTTTTAAACTTAAATAATTAATTATCAAAAAATAATTTTAAAATTGTGCCACGATCGATGCCTTGAAAAATGTTATGATGAGTCTGAATTTTTTTTCAAAACTTAAACCTAATTATTCTTAGGAACAGTAAGATCAAACCGATTCGTATCGACCCCAATAAGAAAACTACACTTTTAGCACATTTTGGTCATTAGGTACAATGCCTTTGTCGATATTTGTACTTCTACTACTATACCTACTGGTTTTCATTGAAGCGTTATCGTTATCATTTTCAGTTATAATAAAATCATTTATATAGACCGGTGACACCCCCCCCCCCTACAATATGTTCCATCCCCCCATACCTCAGAGTCCATTGTACTATTTTATTTTATTTATTTATTTTTATTTTGTGTCTGAACCCACTTTAACAGAAATTAAAAGCCTTACAACTCCTAGTAAAAAAAAGTTTCCATTACAAAACTTATACCAAATGTTCTACATACATACAAGAAAGTGCTGTGAAAATTTCAGAACTTTTGGTTCATGTCATAAAAAGTGATAGGCTCTTAAATATATCACTTTTCAATAAAATGCCAAGCTTTGAGGTTACTTGTACATCGTAAAAAAAAAACTGTCAAAAAAAATGTATGAATCAAAAGAGTATAGTATGATGTATCAGAATAAAAAAAAAAGTTTTGAAATTTGGACCTTGAATTAGTAAAAAAATTGAATGAAATTGATAAAATTTTGAATTTGTTTTTTAATTTTTAAGTACTTAAACATTTGAAAAAAAAAATTGTTCAAGTATATTATGAAAAAGAACGCTTAAATTAAAATTGTGCAGTGAGAGTTCTATTTCGATATCATAATTAGTCATTAAGTAACGTGATCGTGAACTTACGGTGTTTTCACAACAAATTTTCCTAAAGCATCGCCTAAGTCCAAACAATTTTTTTACCCATTTTTTCTTAATTTTTTTGGTTTTATGGGACTATCTGCATAGGCTATGTAAGTTTGAGGCATTTCAATAATCCATTGGCACACACATCAGGTGATTTGGCATGGAATGACCCTATTACAATCTTAACGCCAGCAGCTTAGCACATCACAGGAAGGTTAATAAAAAAATAATATTAATACAAACCACAAGCGCTCCAGACAGATATACTGAGCTGCGTCATTAACCATACAGGCGTTAAGAAGGTTGTGAGAAAACAATAATAATTATAGACGCATATATAACTTACTTATATACATTTCACGATTAATTTGAACATTCAGCGTATCATAACATTATATTTCCATTACCTTCCTTACCTTCTTATCTTCTTTTAATTTTAATTATTACACTTTTGTGACTTGCATGTCTGAAAATTGGACTGAAAGCAAATCTAGAGTAGGGCTAATTAACATGCAACGTTTTGTTTAAAATCTGTAGCGAAACTTGAACTGTTTTTTTATTAAAATATATAAACCAAAAAAAAAGAAAGAGGAAAATCACACTGATATCTGAAAATATTTTCATTATGTCGTTGATTGCGATATCGGTATGGGTTGGTGGTAATTGGTAACTGGTAACTGGTAACTGGTAACCGGTAACTGGTAACCGGTAACTGGTAACAATGACAACAAATTAGTATAGACAGACGAACGACTAATATATAAATAAAAAAAATTATTTAATACCCAATTATTAAATACATTGCCTTAATAATGAATTTTTTTGGTAGTTTTATTTCAAAACTTGTTGTAGAGTATTATAAATTTCTTAATCGACTAGTCAAAATGTTCATTTTGATTATTCTGAACTCAACAAAAATAAAAAACTGTAATAATTGTTTTTTTTTAGGAAAACTTAAAAAAATAAATAAGAATTATTGTTTATAAGATGATTTATCGCTTTCAGCTACCTATGAAAATTCCTAAAGAATTGTGTGACCTCTTTATGGAAATTACAATCTACATATTATTACTTTTATTAACACGATAGTCAAGATAATTAATGATTATTTTAAGTAAGTATGTATTAAAATTATTGTTGGGAGTTACCAATAGCGGATACAACACAAGAAAACTAAATGTTTGCAACTTTCCCATAGACTATAAAATATTTTGTTTAATTAACGTTAACGAGAATCGACCCAGATAGATTTTTTCTATCATATCAAACATTTTCAATTGTTCAAATTTTTATTAAATAAGGTAAAA